TCCCCCAGAGGGGCCACCGCCACCACCGCCTCCATCACCACCTCCTCCACCACCTCCCCCATCCCCTCGACCACCGCCGCCTCCACCCCCACCCCCAGGAGGGCCTCCTCCACCCCCCGGACCGCCGCCGCCACCGCCGCCGCCGGCATCAAGAGGTCCAACGAACACCGTCTTTATTACCTTAGCACCCCCGACAGTGACCGTAGTTGCCACACAAGTCCCGGCAGCTGACCAGAACACGGCATTACGCAGCGGTGATGGACTGAAACAATACCAGCCACCGGCGATCAACATAAATATGACCCAGGGCGTTCCCACTTTCACCGAGGTCGGTATCGCGATTCTCGGCTTTGTATCAGGAATAGGTAGGTGGAACAACCATGAGGAGAAACAATTTGTCCCCAGATTCCTACATCTACTAACATGGCACTAATCTCAGTAACCATATTGGTGTTCCTACTGGCTGGATACTTCGTTTGGCGTCGGCGGCGACGTCGCCGTAGACAGCGCGAGACAGAGCCCGAACCCGAAGTATTGGACTTACGAGCCTATCAAGGGCCGACACATAATGACGGAAAGTTGGGTTGACATTTGGAGTCTTTGTCACTGATACTGGAATTTCCACTCAATCCCCTCTCTAGGTTATGGCCTTTTTGATCCTCTTTTTTTCACTCAGTATGCTTACAATACTGCCACCTTCGTTGGGAGTTGTGTGGCGGGTCTTGGGAATCCAATCAGATTGACACGGTGTGACGATTCATAAACAATCTTGTAATAATACACTTATTTCTCAACAGTCATGTTATGTTGAGACACAATATGCTCGTGTTCCTGCGGTGATCAACGCACGGTCTCCGGTCCATGTGCAGAGAGCCCCTGATGATGGGATAAGGCTAAGCACCGATTTGAGTCCTAAAGCTCTAGCTGTGTGCATCCCAAAACAAAGCCACTACTGCAGACGGCATTTCGGATGGACAGTAGTTTACATATTCCTGCAGGCTATCCATCCACAGAAGTATATCGAGTGGAAATTATTCTGAGTCTCTTGGCACTCACTAATAGTGCCTTGGACAATACTCCCGAGGCGCCGATGATTACCGAAACGTTTGTCCAAGAAGTCATCACAATCCTGAACATGGGATTCACGTGAAACGTTTCGGAGAAATTCTCTCAATTTTTATACCCGAGCCAAGAATTAATCACTAGAGACTTTGCCGGGATGAAATTAACTTCGCAATTCGGTATCAAGAGGTCGGTATCATTATTCAACCCAGACATAGCAAAGCTGCGTGTCGAAAATTTTCGGTCACGTCGACCCATGTCGTGGTCTTTCTTTCTCGAATATCAACTTCATACAAGGTTTCGTGTTATTAAAAAAAGATAACATACTACATTACGACTAGATTCTGTCTCTTAGATTCTCCGACATCATGGGCAGGCCAGCATATCGCAATGAGTACTGTTACGGCGTCGAAATATCGCATTTGTGCTCAATACATCCAAAAAGTCCCAACGTAACTGTCTGGGGAGTAAAAATGCGGTTTAATTGCGAGCTAGCAACATCCGAGGGTGGCAATTTCAACTCAAGTTTCTAGGGGTCACATCAGTATTCATTTCTATGAAGTAAGGTATGCTTAATGCCATGTCAGATGGAAGGGAATCGCAAGAAGAGCTTTTGGGATCATTTATACCTTGAGTACCTATGGAAAGGCCGTTTTGTGCGTGCTCCTATTGGCCTGCACAAATGAACATCATACACAAGAGTGGGCTGGTAGACTCGGCAAATCCGTAGACTACAAAAATGCAACCTTTTCTTACTGCAAACGGCAGGGATTTGTATCTTTCGACGGCGTCACCGACAAGTTGGGTGTAAGGCCTTGCGGCACGAGCTCTCAATTTGCTCCCGCGAGTCAGGCGTCCCCAGCAGCCGCCAATCATCAGTACGGCCGACAATTGCACAGGATATTACCGCACTGACAAATTTATGGCAATTGATTAATTCAAGGGATCCTCATGGAGTGGCAGGCCCGCCAAGCCACAATGCTGTGGGATGCCGACGATGAAAGATGCTTAATTTGGACACAACGGCTTTGAGCAGAATCCGGCCAGGAGAAGATAAAAACATAAGCGTTTCCAAAATTTAGGAATATGATTGTGCTAGTCAATCGCTACTCACTCTATTCTCATTCACGCTCTTTACCTGACACCTTAGTCAGAACGTTGTCCGCTAAGCATCAGATCAACTCATCCGAATCGCCTATCCTACAGCCAATTGTATGCAAACATCTAGAACCAGCTTAAAGTTCGGAACTATCTGCAGATAATGCCTATTATCCAACCCTTGGCTCGTGCAGCCTACAACAGCCCTATCCACCACTTGCTAGCTCGCAATGGCGATTCAGATGACGACGACAATGATGGCGGCGTCCGCATCATTCCCGGCGGGATAGTGGCAATAATCGTCGTCTGCGTTCTTGCCCTTGTCTCTGTAGTTGCATGCTGCTGTTGCTGCCGCAGGAGGAAGCGCAGGGGTACCGAAGGCGGCAGCAAGGAAGGCAGCTCCAGCGACGGAAACAAGACGCAGCTCGATCCGACGAAGTACATCAAGAAAGTTGTCAAAAAGTGCATGAAGAAGATCAAGAAGATGGTCTCGAAGAAAAACAAGAAGGCGAAGGGTGGAGCGGCACCTCGACAAGAAGGAACTCCATACGGCCAAGGCACCCATCCTGGCTACGGGCAAAATGAGCGCTCAATGGGATACAGTGGGGGATACGACAGACTAGATGGTGAGAATGAGGAACGGGTTGCGTTGTCCTCAGCACCCTATGGAGCACGGGGCGATCATTAGGGAAGTGATCTCAAAACAATTACCAAGAACATATTTTCTTTCATAGTGAAACCTCGCCGATCAGCGGCTGCACAGCATAATACAGCCTGAAGTTTGAATGCAGATGGTAGCCATTGTCGCGGCATTGATGATCTTGTTCTCAAAGGCAATAATGACCATTGAAAGGCACCTGGCGAATAGGCATTGCCATCAAGCTTGGACTTCACTCACGCTGGACGTCAAAAAATGAGCTATTTGCCTCGCACTACTGGGCAGTCCCTCCTAAGATCTTCAGAAAAGCAGCAACAGATAGTTATTAGAGTTACCAAGGCGCAGTGATGGTATTGGTTGTGCTACATAAGACCATTGTCAGGGAGAGTGTGCTACCGAGTGAGTTGGGGGGAAGGAGAGAGGGAGAACACATGCTGTTCCCCTGTGAAGACCGTCTCACAGCACTTGAACCAAGACGGGCTAGTATTCCAGCCTGAATCAAGTAACTACTTGCGTGAACTCAAGATGGATCGAGTATATTAAGGTATCAAATGACTCATTCTGTGCTCCATAGGAAGTAGTATAGTTGCGCTGAATGACATTGGCCTTCATAAGCATACAGCATGAAACACTCTGAGAGCGGTGTTTGCCTATGCAAATAGGATATGAGTAATCAGCCACTCGTTTCTTTAGGAACCAAGGTAAGATAGGTCTGTGACTGTTAGAGCAGTGAGTTGGTTCATTTCAACAAACTCTTTAAACACTGCGGAAACATCAGGGTTAGCCTCAGCGACGTAAATTGTCTATTGTACCCACATCGTCTCCTCTCGAGTACTCTCTCGGCTTAAGACGGCAACCCTGTACGGGATATCACCCAGATTCCTTGATTATGGGCCAGTGAACGTCTAGCAACACAGGACCAGAGGCTTCATTACTGCATACTAAAGTCGTCCCTAGCAGGTGGTCTAGCTCAAATAACATGTGAAAAGGCCAATGTATTCGATGGAATCTCGAATCTCTTCTCGCGATATGGATCCATCGACTTGCTTCTCTCTTCGGCAGCTTTTCATCGTTCTTCTGTCATTTCGAGCGCAGTGCCCTGGTCATCGAGTCTTTCGCTGTGTACGAAAGGGCATGAGAACATGAACGTCCCAGGCACCAGTGCTCGAAGCTAGATCCAGCCTCTTTCCAGCGCTCCCAGGCATTCGGTCGTTGCAAAGCAGGCAAGGTGAGCCAAGAGTGAGCGATCAGATAATGAACCTAAATTCTGTAGGAAAGAATACTACATAGATGGATGTTCGACAAATCCTATTGATGTGAATAAAGTCTAGATTGTAACAAGCCCAAATCTTCGGAATTAAAAACTGATTAGTGATGGAACCCAACCTAAAAACAGCGCTGGTCCAATAACCGTCGACTCTTCGGGATAGAAGTCTCGGCCCTTGGTCGAGGAGTAGAGTCGGCCCGTCGAGACACTGCTCGGAAGATGTTAATTGAAGAATGAGGGAGAAAAGACATCATATCCGTCATATCAAAAACGGTGTCTTGAGAATGGTGACGAGTGCAGTCCACCAAGCAGCTTTAGCCTTCTGTGCGTTGAATCCGAGCGCTTTCTTCGTCTATCCCAGGCTCAGGCGCCGCTTTATCTGAACTAACCCGATCGATTTTGAAATCTAAGCCAAAGCAGATTTAGAAACATTCAATAAAATGTTCTTTTAACTTAGTATTGATTTAGACAAGAATTCAATGTTCTTCTATTTTAATAATAAACTCTTACAGTATAAGTATGTATAAAAAAAGCTTTAAGATAGAATATTTATCTAAGGGCAAAAAGAAATAATTAAGTCTAAGTATATCAATACCAAAATCCGGCTGGTTAAAGGTGGGAAATATTATCCGTCCTTAAGAGCTATGCGTCCGGAAGTGGCGCTCTAGGCATACATACGTCATTCGTAAAGGCGCTGACACTGTGGGGTAAGAGAGGATTTAGTGGGATCTAATCTCCGCTAATGCCTACACCAATGTGGTCTATCATTGAGTATAAGACTGGGCTCAAGCTCTAGCGCCGCTTTCCGTTTAATTCATGTCATCTACAATCACCTACTTGGACAACGCCAGTATATCTCATAGCCTCATTATTTATTCCCGCATATACCAGTGATACCCCTTAACCTTTCACGCAATGCCCATCCCCGGAATCCCTCAACCGGCTGTGCCTTATGGTAGCCTCGTCGTCATTTCCGGCGTGAGTGGCTTCATCGGCTCTCACGTCGCCGACCAAGCTATATCAGCTGGTTACAGGGTGCGTGGTACGACGCGAGACGTCTCTAAGAGTCAGTGGTTGGAAGATTATTTCCAAACCAAGTACGGCAGCCATATGTTCCACCTAGCCTCTGTTCCAGACATGGAAGCTCCAGACGCATTCAACAGAGCAGTCCAAGGTATGAAAGTTTTCCCACCCTCACAATGAGCAGGAGCTGATTCCGCAGGGGCTGTTGGCTTCATCCATGTGGCCAACGACATGCAGGGGTCTCGAGATCCGGCCGTTGCCATCCCTAGAGCAGTGAATGGTGCATTGAATGCCGCCAAGGCATCATCGGAAGCCGGTTTGAAGAGATTCGTCTTCACGTCATCCTCCTTCGCGGTTACCCAACCTAAGCCTGGAAAGGTCTTTACACTTACTGCCGAGAGCTTCAACGAGGAAGCAGTTGAACGCATTAAGCAACCTGGAGCCGACGGGGAAACTGTCTACTCCGCCAGCAAAGTGGAGGCGGAGCGCGCTCTCTCGCGTTGGGCGAAGGAGAATAAATCATCCTTAATCATAAACACAGGTAATTTATTGGAAATAGTTGGACTAACGTATGGTAATTAACATCGAGTCAGTTCAACCTAATGCAAACATCGGCCCGCTTATCAATGCTGAAAAACAAGGTTACCCGACCTCGGCTAGATGGGTCAAGAAGTTGTGGGATCAAGATTACGACTCCTTGAGGAACACACCTCCTCAGCACTTTGTCAACGTACAAGACGATGCCCGCTTGCATGTCATTGGATTGGTTCATCCACAGGTACGAGGAGAGCGTCTTTTTGCCATTGCTGGGCCCGTAAACCTACAGGACATAATAGAGATCTTGCGGGAGTCATATCCTCTCAAGCATTGGGAGGATTTTCCGACCAATGAGAGAGATCTGAGCTCCTTCATACCCAGCAGAAGGGCGGAGGAGCTGCTCATTGAGGCCTACGGTACAGGTTTCATTGGGCTTGTAGAGAGTGTAAAGGGTAATGCAGCCAATCTGGTTTAGGGTTATCTCATCGGTCTAGCTCGGAAATGACTTCCAGATGGCGAGTAAAATAAAGCTGGATACCCGTCGATTGTTTTGACAACACTTGGGAGGTGACAGGAGATATCGGTCATTTTGATTCAGGTGCCAACTGTACTGCTATTTATCGTCACGAATAATTTGGCAATCAGAGTGCTGGGCGGATGAATTGATTTAACCCTTAATCATGTTGGAGACTACTCCTTCCCTCTCTTTCCACCTCGCCCTCTTACCTTTCGTCTGCCTCGACCACTGCCTTTCTTCTTCCTTCTCCCTTTCCCACTTCAACTTCTAAACTTACCTGCCGTCTGCTATCGAATCCTTGGCATAATTATTGGGCAGATGATGCCGATTCAACTCGGTACTACGAGTATTCGCTCATTTAAGGGTCTTTGTTGTGCCTGATTCAAAGCCTTTCTTCCCACACCGGCCCAAAGGGGGTTAAGCCTTATATTCCCGTCAGCACCGGCTTTTGCATATAACTCAATGTATTTCTGGCATCAGGCATGGGGCCAACTTATCGTTCGGCAGCATGCAGGTGGTGGTGTCACTGGGAGTGCTTTGAGCGTTGTTCGACGCAAACAACCAGCGTGGTTGAGATTTCGTGAGGTTCACTTCGTGGGGTCCACTTCGTGGGGTTCAATATTTTGTAGCAGAAACTCCTCTTTTACTTTGGTAGGCAGAAGCATCGCGTATGCGAGCAATCACGCGTACCTTACACAGGTACTTCTATGGCGAAGCCCAGTCGAGATGTGGTGGTTGGGACCTCGGAGTCCTTGGACTGATTTCATCAGCCGCGACAGCATGTGCAGATTCTGAGGCTACCTTCGCTATCGGCGCCAATCACCACTTCTGTTTGTTCCACCGTTAGCTCTGTATACACTGCAGCTTTATGTAACTAAGGTAGTTAATACTACCTTAGTTCTGGTTATAGCGTAATGAAGTCTGCTAGGCAGTTTCAGCACAATTATCTAGAGAAGACACTGTGTGGAATGGACTAACTTCTGTGAATGACTCTAGACTGATCGAGTATTCTACATTAGAGCGTTTAGGAAATTTTACTACACCATTGACCCTAAGTCGGTGGTTTATGACTAGTGCTCTGGGGATCTGAACCCACCATTGCAAAGTATAGACGAGCTCGAGTGATCGACTACCTGCTGACATTAGACCTTCGTCTTCTTAACGCCGGACTTGCCGATCGCCGGCGACTTCCTGACCCATTTACCGCTCTCGATCTCATCAACAAACCAGCTTGCTAACGCAGGCCTCTTCATACCAGCCTTCCATCCAGGCTTCGCAATATACCCAGCATACGTCGGCTGATCCTCACGATCCGCTCTCCAACTATCCTCATCCGACTCGTCACTAATAAAGCTGATATGAAACAGGGTCCGGTCCAGCCCGTCCGCCTCCTCTTGAAATACGCGTCCGAGGTCGATGATTGCGTTGTACGCCGTTGACGCGATGATGCGGGTGAGGATAGCCTGCAATAAGCGGGTGAACGAGGCCTGCAATAAGCGGGTGAACGAGGACGAGTCTTCGGTGATGGATAGTGTGCCCATGGCGAGGATGCGCTTCCAATCGTTTTGCGCATAAGGGGGAAAAGAGCTGAGTAGATGCTCGAGTACGTTGTCTTCTCTACGACGCTCGATTGCGTTGGACCAGGAGTGAGATGATGGCTTTGCTCCCCGCGACGGCGCTTTCGAGCTTGTCCGACTCGTGCATCAGCCTCTGGATGACCTATCGATAGACTGAGTTTATAACTCCATGCTGAAAAATAAGTTCTCTAGGCTCCTTACTTACTTGAAGCAGTGGGCTGCTCGCCAGGCCTGCGGGGATCTTGGACGCGTTCCTGACGTAGGCAATGGTCCCATGTTGTCGATGCAGCAGCTCTCGCAGCAAAGGTAAACCTGCAGGACCTGTCGCACCAAGTACAAGAATCTTGATGCCAGTCATGTTGGGTATGCGAATTACGAACGGAATTTCGATTCAAGGGAAACACTAACAAGGGCAGCTGGATGCCAGTAACTCCACGATTCAGCCTTGACTTCAGCTTTTTCCATCACGTACGAAGCCTGTTCCAGTGTATCCCATCGTTTCAGCAATTTGTCAACATTTATCAGCCGTATTAGTTATCGAGTGCCAACGCTGAAGGTAATCCGGTGGCTTACTTAAGTTACTTCTGTATTGCGGAATCAAATGACAATTTCAGTCCGCCGCCCTCACTGTCAGTAATGCAATGCTATGCTACTCACCGGTCACGTATCCTATCTTATTGTATCGATGACTATCCATGATTTCTCGGCTATTCAACAGCATTACCTTAATCTCCGCTTATGCGCACAGATGATCAAGCAGTCCTGCCGCAAGTGGATACTTGAACATGGCAAGAGCAAAGAGTAAAGTTGAAATGTCGCAGTCTAGCATTTACCAGAGACTCCGCAGCGTTGAGTAAGGTAGCCTCATAGAAGCCTCACCTGCGGGGTCAATTTCTAATTCCGCAATCAATTTGAATCCTCGTATTGTGGATGGAATCATCTAGTTAACCTGAGCATCACGCAACCAGCCTTCCTCCGTTAAGTAATGAATCTTGACAGCTGGTTTAACCTATTCCACTGTGGCAGGTAAGACCCGATCGCGATAGCTAGGATTATTCCCACGACTTTTCTCACGGGAGAAAGATAGCTATCGAGAAGCGAGTCTCGTAACAATGGACCATTCTAGTCAAGATCGACCGGCCCGGTATGGATCTCTTAGCGGGCGTTACAAGAGAAATTAGATAAGTACCAGATGCGTGCATCATGATGTAGAGCAGAATGTCACCATATTATTGATCTTCGACCTGATCCTTCTTGTTGGCCCTCCGTTCGCCTCTGCGATCCACACCGTGTACATTCCTGCAAGGCCATTGGTCTGTGTCCTCAACCCCATATGGTATGGTGGCCCAAACTCCAACTGGTCTCCTGTCGGTACCTCAGGGTAGAAAGATAGCATAGTGAGAGGAAATAAAAGGGAATGGGGTTGAATATTACATAAACTGTGGTACTGCAAAAAACACCCTTACAATCTCGCCAGAGGACGAATATCCCAGGCGACCGCGAATGCTGCGGGATCCTTTGGTTTGAGGTTGTTGTTTATGGAAACGACAACCTTGAACGTCTTTCCAGGGACATTCTCCCAAATAATCTTCTCAACATTGTCTGTAGCACTGTAAGTATGCAAATAGTGGGATAGCATTAGATTTCGCTTACTAGTATGGTCGAGCCCAGAGCTCTTGCCCATATTGCCGTGTCGCTCAGACCCAGCTGAGAAAACATACAGGTTGACATCATTCTGCAGTTCCCCGAAGATGGACGCTGGATCGGGATATGCGAGAGACACGACCAGACGGTTTCTACCAGAAGGAACAGGTATCTCAGGACTGACCCATCTCCTGGCTGCCGTTGGGATCTGTCGCAAAGGGGGCACGTCGAATTGGGTGGCTTCAAAGGCGTTACCGCCCTCCATGAACGATGACTGTCTGATCATAGCGATAGAACTGTCAACGTCAACACGTCCAAAACCCTGTTCATAGTCGTAGCCGACGCCAAGACCCAGACTCTCGGAATAATTGACGGCGCCGTTGATAAGTAAAGCTTTCACTAGGGCTGCGCTTGGGTTCTGCTTGCCTCCCTCTTGTAATGCCTCACGTAGCAAAGCGACACAGCCTGCAACTAGTGGCGTCGACATGCTTGTACCAGAGGCATAAATCCAATCGTTGTCCTCCGAAATTCTCCATGTGTTCTTCTTGCGAGATTGTGCACTCAAGGCTCTCGAGGCTGCTGAAAGGACAGCAACACCTGGTGCAACAATATCTGGCTTGATACGACCTACGGCGGGTGTCGTTTTGTCGGCTCCGTCCACATGCGGCGATCTACGTAGGGTTGGCCCACGGCTACTGAAAACTGCAGTTTCGTTGACCTGTGTTCCGAAATTTCCAACGTCTTGAACCTTGATAAAATTCTGCCCATCATTTTGTCGCGTTGAGCCTGTCGATCCGACAGTGATGCAATTTTTGGCAGCAGCAGCGGCTCCTATCTGGCTTTTGTATTCGTTTTCTTCGCCGTTATTACCGGCTGCCATTAACACAATGAAGTCTTGGTGATCGTAGACGAAACCGTCGATGGCATTCGCTTGGGTTTCATAGCCCAACTGACCTGTTTCGTTATCCCACTTCTTACCCCACGAATTATTATGGATCCGGAATCCTAGGTCATATGGCTTTTTGAAAAGCTGCGCGGCCAGATCCAATGGCGTCTCCATCTTCCAGTACCTCCCTGCGGGCTTATATAACATCAAGGACTGGACCATAAGAGTGGCGGCAGGCGCCGTTCCTCTGACTTTGATTGTAACCGTGCCGTTCTCGGGCTCCTTGATTGTGTAAATACCGCTTCCGCAGATGGATGCACACACATGAGTGCCATGACCCTCTTCGTCCATGAACTTCTCAAATGTGAAGTTCCGGTCTTTGGGGTCGTTGGGCCAGACGGAGTCTAGGTGCTGAACACGTCCACAAAGTGCTGGGTGAACTTCAACGCCAGGCTCGCTATTTGACCTTCCCAGGTCGAAGCCAGTGTCTGCAACGCAAATACGTTGGTTAGCCCCTTCGTAGGAGCTTGACAAGGTCAAGAGATCAACATTGAGGATTGCGCGCGCCTCGTTGTTGAGCACCCCCACTGGCCGCACCTCTTCAATTCTGCTAATACTATCAAGTTTCGCAATCTCTGAGAGGTCATCTTGGTGCACGGTGACTCTGATAATTGAAGGTGAGATTTGAAGATCTTGTAAATCTACTCTGGCTTTCTGTGCGATTGATGTTGCCAGGTTGTTGGCGTTGACGTTGGGGCTCTTATGAAGGATACAGTCTACCTCATAGCGAGTCTTTTTGTTGTCCCTCTCTATAAGTTCCTTGAGAGTCACGGTGGTTTTGAGGTCGGGCAGATATCTGATACAGTTAGCGATTATTACTCTGCAATGTTAATGACTACTCACGGAATCACACTCTTGACAGCGGCCATAGCCCGAATGGCACTGAGGTCTTTGGGCTCATATCGACATAGGTAGGTGTTGCGCGAGACATATTCCAGGATTTTGACTTTACTGTCCTCCAGTTTCTGCTTTTGACCAGGGGTCAAGTCACTGTGACCCTGGATAAGGATAAAATTGGTGCTCTCTGCATCCTTTGGCACGCTATCAGGCAAATTTGCGAGATTGGCCGTGTTGCCGTTGATTTGAATAGTAGCCATCTTCGTATGAAATGGAAAATCGTTCCTGAAGCAAGTGGAAAGAGGATGTCGAAGCGGAGTGAAGTAACCCTGTGATGGAAGACGGCAGTTGTAAGTGAAGGGAATGGAGAGGAAGAGACCCTGCCGAAGCTGAGCAACCAGCATTAGGTGGCTTTGCGGGTCGCACTCTCCCTTGTAGGCGCTAATACGGTGGGAATTGACCAACGGCAAAATGTGTGGTTGCCAATGCCAGCTCAGAGGGCTGAGTACGCATTGTGATCGAAACAACAGCTGAATACCAGGGTTAGGTCTAGAAAGTAGGTGGCAGCCTGGGATTTGCAGGACTAGAGGCAATAGCCTGAGACAATGGACATGGCCTAGCCGATTCTGGCCCATGTACTTACTTGTGCAGAGGCGCCTCGGATGGGTAACCCTAAGCCAAAGAAGAGGGGGAGAATCTTAACCAAAGCAAGTCGATGGTTATTGCGACGAACAGTAAACGGAAGCAATCCCCATAGTGAGTGAATGCATGGTACAGGCTAGTTTTTCAAGTCAAACACAGTAGATTACTGGCATCAATCTTGAACGTTGGTTAAAAGCGTAATTCAAGCAAATAATCTCGAAATATCCATAAGGTCTAAATCCTTTTACAGTACGGATTAAGCTACTATAGAACCTTGTTGTTGACTAGACTTTCCTGACCAGACAGCGCGAACACTTCTGTATCGAGAAACTGCCTCACTCCATCATCGCCCTCCCATTTCTTGCCCTCCAGCTTCTTTTCTACTAGAATCCTACACCTATCAACGGCGTCACGACAACCAATCAAGTTATTCCACTGTTCTAGATTATCTAAATGCTCCGGATCCGGAATACGATCGAAAAAGTGGTCGTAATGCTTGTGTGAAGCACTGTCTTGGCCATAATAAGTGTGGAAGATCTGAATGGGCCCCCAACGATCTATAGTGCCGTCTTTAAATTTGAGGGGATCTGGAGAAGAAATGTAAGCAGTGGGAACTGGATGGACCTAATAAGAATCCTTACCGTCTGATACCTTGTCTTTCTCGTTCAGTAGTTCACGCTTTGCATGGCCAATAGCATACGAATCTTGGATAACATGGAACATACTGCCGAGTGCGCGTCGCCCGATGTCAAGGCCCTTGAACTTGGAGTCCTTGGACAATAGATAGGCAAGAGACAGCCAGTTTGGCGGGAGAGAATCGTCAGGAAACAAAACGCCAAGAGGTGACTGTGACACCACAGTGCTGGGGGTAATCTTGTCATCTTCACCAGTTGCCAGCTTATACATAACTTCCATCCAGGTCATGATATTTGCTTTTGTGACTTCAGGCTCCTCATCTCTGTCAGATGCCATACAGTGAAGAAACTGAAGGTCACCATAGTGTGAGCGGCCGGTAACATTTTTCATCCTAGTGAAGCCGAGGTTGTTTGGGTTCCACTCTTTTTCCGCTGACTTGAACTTCAGTGCCCAGTCAAAGCCGAGTGTGTATGAATGATTTGAGTCGTGAGTGTCTGAAAAGAGTTGACAATCAGGATCGTCATTCCACACTGCTCCGCGAATGTGCTCCCAGTCGTCGTTGGTGGCGCTCTCAAGAGTTGTGCCCTGTGGGGTCCCAGATTTGCTGCTGATTAGAGCAGACAAAGTGAGAGACTCATGGAATGGTTTGCCGATGATCCCATTCCAAAGTCCTCCACTGACTGACATTTGGGGGGCGACCTCTTCCCCAGCTTGGCCACTGGTGTCTGCATTTTCGTGATCTGTTGAGGTTGCCATGGTTGGTATTCGCCGCTAGAATCTTTTGCTGAGGGAAGAAGCTGAAAAGACAAGTTTAACGTGCAAATGTGTATACTACAATTCACAGCCTATATAACTAATTGCTCTGGGCTGTAAGCACGCTAGAACCAGCTATGGCAGTCTAGACACTCCGAAAGCGGGGTGGGCGTCGTGCGAGTGCATGGGAGTCCATTCACGACCAGTGTGCAGGTCATTATCTTTCAGCTGACTTCGCCTGAGGCTGCTAACGTCTCAGCCCCCAGTCTATCTAGAGCCCTTCCCCAAACCTGCTTTGAAGTTGTGCTCCGGATCATCCGTCGTGATCGCGGTAGCCAAGGAGAGTGGTAGGAAGGCCCTGGTCAAGAAATAGATGTGATTCCTGTGCCTCAAAGATCGAATAGTCAACACTACTAAGTGACTGAGGTGTTGCGAAACAGCTTGCGCGGGCAAAACTCCACTAGAGTGGCGGGCTGAAAGCGGAGCGACCGTAAGCGCGAGTCTCGACCCAGTACCTAGCCCCATGTCAGGACCGTCCCGCCCGCCACATCCCGGGGCACTAACCTATCGGACAACACTAGTTGATGTATCTAGACAAACCACCGTTCAAACTAAGCCAAATGTAACAGCGCTGTAGTATGTATCATTGTGGCATTGTGCCATAATCAGGTGCAGTGGTATAATAGGTAATCAAGATAATTGGCTCAGATGGATATGTCAAGAAGCACAGCTGGCAGAGACTAAGACTGTACATCCCCGCTTAATCAGGTGAGAGCCTGGGTTCAAAGCTGCTAGCGAAACTATTGATGCAGAAGCTGCCTCTTCGCATCCCAGCTGATCTCTTATCCTCACATACGGCTGAGTTCGTGTATTTTCAGGTCGTTCAAGCCATGCTGTTAATGACGAGCTGTACTCAAATGAAGACCCCTGATCCACCTTGTAGTGATGTGATAGGTATAGCAGCCACCAGAGTAACGGCATATGGCTTGGAAGTTTCGCGAGAGCCAGCTTACGTTGTCTCACGGCTTCTCCGAGTCCTCCCATCATGGCCTGCTGTATGTGTCGAAGAAGTGACTAGAAAATTATCTACCCCTCAATGAACGAGCGGTTCACGTTACGTATAAAAGGCAGCAGGATTCGGCTCTCTAATAGAATTTGATTGTCATCGAGAAGCACTTCTTCAGCTACAGATACCTCCACTACAAAGACAAGCACCTTCACGTAAACCTTATCTTCCTCCTACATCTTCAAAATGGCCGACCAGACATCTGCTCCCTGGAAAGAATCTGAGTCTAAGAGCGGACAGAAGTATCAGGTTTCTGCCTCTCACTACGATATCACCGACCAGGGTGGCGACGCCCCTGCTGCCAACGGCCCCCCTTTCAATGTCCAGATTGATTGGAGACTTAACACCGAGGGCTCACCCTCTCCAGAGATCCGAAACAAGACGGGCATTACCTACTACAAGCTCGAGGAGGCTCCCTGGTACTCGGTCAAGAAGTACCGCCTGACTATATCCACCACTGACTCCTACAACTATACCTTCTTCGACAACGAGCCGGATCAATATGGCCTGAATGTCTTCCGAACCAATGGCCTGCACTATGTCGAATATAACTCCAAGGACCCCAGAATCACCAGCATTACCGGCAAATAAGTCAGAAGTCAATGTCGATCCAAGGGGCAAGCGGCTTCGAACGAAGTCGGGGTTAATCACGGAAGGAGAGGTCGAGAATTTTATGGTGAAGGGCTATGTAGTCTATCTGGTGGTCTTCAGATTGCTAACTGGATATCTTGAATCTCGCATATCTACACTCTCACTCTAGAAAGCACACTTTTGGTTTTATAATGCTTGGTCAAAGTCCCGAAGTTACCTTGTGAGGCGAAAATAGGTTGTCAACCCCGACTAAAGAACCGGCGCTAAGATAGACCACCGCTTCATCAATGAAATTTACGTTAGTATAGGGTCACAAGAAGTGTAAAAGTACAGTACTTCGTCTCTTTATATCGTCCTCTAAGCCGTGGTTTGTAGCCACTACCCGATCTCATCTCCCGGCGAGTACCATAGTTGAAAGAAAGCTGGTCTTTCTGATTTCAATAGAGGTTCGGCCGTCCGCTATAGCCTCGTTCAAGATTCTCTATTTTTTTTCTTTTTCTTTCTTCTTTTTTCTTTGATATTTGAATCAATTTACAAAGTGCCTAGTGCAGTAAAAGCAACAGGCCCTGGTGGGTAATAGTTGGATAAGCGCGGCATTCCTGACATTGACATATTACCTTCTCGAATTAAAGGCAAATCCAGGGATGGGCTTCGAGACATTCTAGCATAGCATAGCGAAGAAGTGGGTTGAATACGTTTTCTGGTCCAGACATATATATCCGCATCTGGTCGAGATCTCTCCACAGAAATTCGGGACCTGGACTTGCTCCGAGCCAAGGTTTCTCCGAAGGCCGAAGTCGGCGTCTCGATTAGGTAAAGTCCGGTATAAACCTGACACCGTGATTTGGACGTCACGGACACACAAAAGCAATTGTCTTGCGCTCGTTGCGTTTGAGAATTCACAGCCCCGAAAATCTTGCCCAGATCTGAACTGTTTTGATGCAGACTAATATTTTAGAGTACCTAATCCGGACATTAACATCAACGCCCACCTGTTGTTCCCGATGGACTCATCGGTCCGTCAATCTCCCAACACCCCGAACGATGACCGCTCAGCCCTCCGCGACCTTCTCAAATTTCGTCAACGGGACCGCAAAGGCGTCCGTGGTAACCCTAAGTCATGTATACCGTGCCGCGAAAGAAAGGTCAAATGCGACAAGGAGTTGCCGTGTTCGACCTGCGACAAACGGGGACACCCGGATCTATGCAACTATGAAAGTTCTACAAGACAGTCGCTCGGTATCCCGCAGTCGCCAGCACGATCTGCGAGAAGAACTTCTGTAGTCATTCCAACTTCAAACAGATCTCAAGAACTCGAGAAAACAGACGCGATCAGCTTTGATATCGTCGAGGAACGTGTAGGAGACCTCGTCCCTGGCCCAGAAGCCCAAAACAGGCCCACTCCACATATATCGACAACGTCGAATAATGCATCCACTGCGCGAGAAGATGGCGATCGACTATTCCTAGCCGATAGTTCGGTGATAGGCATGATCAGACGGCGCTCAATCCGGTCTAGAGATGATCCAGCTCGACAATCTGCTTTCGAAACAGGCATACTACCTCTTCTTGGCGTCAATGAAGAAGTGAACACGTCTGTATCATCCTATCAGTCTCTACCAAGCGACCAAGAGATAGTCAGATTGTTTGAACTCTTTCGCCGTCGAGTCCACCCCTTTCACGTCATAACCTTTAATTTAGATACCATCGAGCAACGAATTTGTCAACTAATCAATGCAAGGAGAGGATCAGACCTTGGCTCCGAGTCGTTTGAAGATCCTAGGTGGCTGTCTCTACTTCACGCTATCATGGCGGCTGGAGCTCAATTTTCCGATATGAATTTCCAAGACCGTCTTGCAGTGTCTCAACGGCATAGTATGTTCTAGATCAGCCCAGCATTCCATCCACCTCGATGAGATGCTGATCAGCTACAGCCAAGCAGTCATTTGATCTCCTACGGTCAACAGATTATCTCGCGAATCCATCCAAGGAGGCCGTCCAGACACTCCTTCTCTTAGGGAATGTGCTTCAAAATGATATGAAACCTCAGGCGGCTTGGGTTCTTGGGGGCACAACAATCCGCCTCGCGCAATGCCTCGGTCTTCACAAGAAGACAGCCCGCCCGCCAAAATCTCCGCTCACAGATGAAGACGCAAAGTGTTTGAGGTAAATTACATCGAGGTTCTCTGTGGGAATACATCTGCTAACCACTGGTCAGATTAGCAATTGTTTGGCAAGATGCCCTCCTCGCGCTCGCTTTTGGTCGCCCACCAGCCTCCTATGAGTTGGATTTTGAAAGCGACTTGCCTCAGCTCTCAGAGTCTAGCGAGAGTTCGGGTCTATCCTACCTCCAAGCTATGAGCTGGCTATGTCATGTCACATTGCGCCATCTCTCGTCTCATTTGCAGTCGTCACTCGGGCCAGTTTCGGTACTCGACGGCATCAAATTCATCGAAGCCTCTCTTTCGCCCCACTTAATCGATCCCACGAGAAGTACGGCAATACCACAGATTCAAGAATACTACGCTTTCGAACTTCACCGACATTTTGTCATGGCTACTCTTTGTCGCCCGTTCGTATCGAGGAGTGGATCAACAGGGCTCAGTGAAAGTGACAGGTCGAACGTCCTCGAGCACTTTCGAGAATCTCTCAAGCGCAGCGTCCGGGCTTATGTTCGGTTGAGGTCAATCGCGGGACATGCTAGGCGTTCTTGGGCCTTTACACATAATGGGCTAACGTCGGTTCTTCTCTTGAGCTTAATGCGAGAGACTAGGTATCTTGCCGAGACCAGAACCCTTCAGGACGAGCTCATTGCAAGTCTTTCAGAGGAAGGTAACTCCGCCTTGCTCACAGACCCCGATACCAACGCACAGCTTTCAGGCACTCTCCATAAGGCGTTGAAGGCTCTGCGGACTCTTCGAGCATTGACGGAGCGTGACGTCAGTTCGCGTGGCTCAAACCAGGAGCAAAGCGACCAAGACATTCCAACTCCTGGCCATATGCCCACCGTCGGCGAAAGGCCTGCAATAGGCCAAGATAATGCGTTTCGGGTCACGGAGCAAGCTGAGTGAGTCAATCCATAATTTAGATTCCGAGACGAATGCTAAGAAGCCAGCTTTTGGGACATGGGCGACGCTCAGTGGGAATTTCCCATCGATTTCGACATGTCCCCACTGGGCGCGTTTGACTACATCATGTCGGATCAGAATTATGACAACAATTCATTTCTGCCCAATCTAGTGTGAAGTTGAAAACTTTGTGTTGGAATTTAGTAATCATTCAATTAACGTTCAGTCTAAACACTTTGATATTCAGTTGGAATTGAATCCAAATGACTGCCAACGCTGCAGCACCTTCTCCTGGACCTCAGTCGGATAGGACCCCTTGAAGCTCGCAGCTTCCCAGTCACGGCCAGTGGTGTACTCAGTCGGCATCAGACAATCGGAAACAACTTTTCCCCCCATGCGGATGTTACCGTTGCCGTGCGACATGTATGGAATTAACGGAAAGCCACGGACGTCCTCGAAATGGTACTCATCCAGGCCAGGGCGGCAGCGGGTGGAAAAGGCCCAGATTACGTCCTTAAAGTCGTACACGTCGATGTCGTCGCCGACAATGACGAGGCGGTGGATTGTGTAGCCGACCTTATCATTGAAGACAACATCGCCGATGGTTCGGCAAAAATCCTTTGCGTTGGTCTTCATTGCGCGAAGCTTCTCGGTGTCGACCTGTAGGGCGACCCATGTCACCTGGGATTCGAAGGGGGAGAAAGCCTCCTTGATGGGCAAACCCTTAGACTTCAGTAGAAATCCGATCTCAGCAGCGGCAAGGGGTCCGATCATGGTGTGCTAGTTCGCGTCAGTTTGGTACTGCTATGAGAACAGGTGGCGATGATGACCTACCGTCTCATCGATCAATCGGCCGCAATTCGATACTGGAAGAATAGCATCCTTTCGGTGTGTGATGAGGTCAACCCTGTACTTCGGCTGGGGATGCGCGTCGCCAGGGAAGACATATCTTGAAGGATCGTCAGTATCTTTGCGGATTTCTTGCAAACAATTCCAAACAGTCCACATACCCGTGCATCTCTCCAAAGGGACCCTCAGGTGCCGTCTCTGTAGCAGAGCAAACGCCCTCGAAGACAATTTCCGAGTTGGCAGGGACATAAAGCCCATTGGTGTCACACTTGACAACCTCCAACGGTGCTCCAACCAGTGACCCAATGTACTCCGCCTCAGACAGGCCGCTCGGTAAAGGCATGCTCGAAGCCATGATGGCGGCCGGTGGCACGCCAAAGACCAGCGCCCACGGCATATCCTTACCCTCCTTTTTCCACATCTGATGGATCTGCCAGATATGTTGCGGCTCGATAACGAGCCCCGCAAGGTGGTTCCTGTCGTACACCATGGCGCGAGCGATGGACCAGTTCGTCCATTTCCCGTCCGGCGATTGAACGACATGCATACCGTACGTCTGGATGTACTTTCCGCCGTCAGACTGGTGCAGCATCGGTGCTGGCAATTTGGTGAGGTCAAATTGGTCTGGAGTCAATCGGATCTCCTTGCAGGACCCGGTATCAGAGACAACGGGGGGGATTGGAGTCGCACTCTTGGCGGCGATCATCTTATCGAGTATCTCCTTCATAGTCGACGTGGGAGGGAGACCGAGGTGCCTCGCCAGTCTTCCAAAACGCTGGGAGGGGTCGGACCGCAGAGAGTTTGGCGCGCCGAGGATACGCCAGAAGCCATCTGCATCTTGACCCTTGAGCTTGTTGAAGAGGGGTGCTCGTTCATCGGTCTCAACAACCTTCCGAATGATGGCGCCGACTTCGAGATTCGGGTCACATTCTTCGTTGATCTCAATGAGGTCGCCGTCTGCTTTAAGTGCTTCGACAAAGGAGCGGAAGCTGAGGTGCGGGAGATCTTGAGAGTCTGATGGTGGCATTTTGGTTCTGTTGATTGAGATTGATAAATTGAATGTGTATGCAGTCCAAAAATGGAGGAAATTTAGTTTGTAGTTGGTGGTTGGATGTGATCATAATGCAGCCAATGTAGATGACCATGTTGCGTTCATATATATCACTTTCGTCAACACCGAACGCCAGCATGGAGTACGATGAGCGGTGGTAGTGATGCAATATCCCCGAATTCCCCGAGATACGTGCTCAGAGATCCCTGAGCTAGGATGGAAGTCGGTCCTCTTCCGTACCGGTGCCGGAAGTCGAGAATGTGGATACCCGAGTGGCTCCGGGTTCGGACAATTCGGTTACCGTCCCATCGATCGTTTCTGAACTCTCCGATTTCGCCGAAAAGACTTTTATCGTGATCCCATTAAATATGTAGGGTAGTATCGCTGCAAGAAGAGTGTGATCCAGAGGTACGCAATTATAACTGGCTCAAACATCATTCCAAGCACTTCCAGACCCAAAAGCAAGAATACGTCCACAACATCTTCGGCAAATCACTGTCATTTACACTTCAGAGACACCACGTCGGTAAATGCTTGTGAGGAACTACCAACAAAAAAGCCATCAACGAAATGAAAGACATCACACCTCGCAAAAAGATCATTGTCGCCTTGACGGGCGCGACAGGAGCCCAGATTGGTATTCACGTTCTTCAGACCCTCCGGAGGCTCAATGTCGAAACGCACCTCATTATCAGCAAGTGGGCCGCCGAGACGATAAAGTGGGAAACCGATTACACACCCGCGGCGGTGAAAGCACTTGCAGACCACGCCTATAGCTCGCACGATCTAGCCGCACCTATCGCAAGTGGCTCATATCGCGTGGATGGCATGATTGTTGTACCGTGTTCCGTCAAGACCCTCGCTGCGATCAATGCGGGTATCTGTGATGACTTGGTAACGAGAGCAGCAGATGTTTGTCTGAAAGAGCGCAAGAGGCTGGTCTTGTCTGTCAGGGAGACGCCGTTTAGTGAGATCCATTTGAGGAATATGATGGAGGTCACGAGGGCGGGGGCGATTATCGCGCCGCCTGTTGTCGGATTCTATACGCGGCCGTCGTCAATTGATGATGTTCTTGATCAGATGGTCGGAAGGTTGTTGGATCTTTTCGATTTGGATGCGAGAAACTTTGAAAGGTGGGATGGGATGCAGAAGAGTACCACAAATAGCAAGTAATGTTGATTACAATCGACTGTACACCAGATCACTTTCGCCGAATGATAGTAACGGCTGACTGAGATATTGTTGGACCACTGTGGAGTGTGACGAGAGCAAGCCGGATGTCTACTTCTGGTGTACCTCGACATCGGTGATAAGTCCTAGTGCCTTTTGCAAGCTAATTAATGTCTAGGTCGGGCCGCAATAGGAGTCGAGTCCTGCAAAAAGTTGATCCCATCCAAATGTGTTGGCGTCTCCAAGGAGATCGTTCCATAGGCTGTCAAGACCGAGGACGTCTTCTCCAGCCAAACTAGATTTCTCAGCACTGCCACCATCATCATAAACAGTCCTCAGTCCAGCCGTTGCAACCGCTTCGGGATCGTCAGTCGAGAGTCCTGCGTCGACAGACTCTCTGTCATCTTCTACCTCTGATGGGACAGCGTCATCCATCCCCTGGACACGATAGCGACGCAAAACGCCCGTCAGGTTCTGAACAAGCTGCGCAGCAATCACCGATTCTTGTCCGGCCAATGCCAAAGCACGGCAAGCTTGTACAACCTCGGCATGCAGCTCTGCTGATGCATCAGATACTAACCATGACTCTTTGCCGTCTGCTAAGCCCTCACGACTTGAGACGCCTCCTGAGTGAAGTGCCAATATTGTACACGCCATGAACATATGACAGATAACACAGCCTAGACGGCAACCGATTGCTCGCGAGCTGAAGGTTTGCACTGGCTCTCTAATCTGTGAAACCTTTAGTAGACGTGTGGCGATTGCGAGGACAGTCCGGGCTGAGCTCAGACATATCTCTCGCGATGACTGGTATTGGGCATCTTGTTTGTCATGGAGCAAGAATGGTCGGTGTAATCGAGCGCGTCGCGAGAGGAAACCGAGGAGAACAACATCTCTCTGCAGCGATAGATAGGGCGGCGCGGTCTCTGGAATGGGCCCATCGGGACGGAGGAATGGGGGGAAGTCGGCAATAGCATCTGCAAACAGACGATCTAACTCGAGTACATGTTCGTAGTCCGTTATTTCAGCATCTGGAACTCCTGGTGTTCTGGCATCGATGACAGAACGAGAAATACCAGCGAGTTGGATGCGCCGGATGAAACAGCTCATCGTCGTCGCAGTATCTGAAGGCATGCTAATGGCCTTATTCGAGAGGCTCGCCTCGTCATCATTGATGTTCCGAGGCTCATTAACATTCATTTGTCGCGGCTGAACGTTGTACGTCCCATCCGTGGGCCCTCCCATGAGACCCAGCATCCTGAGCTATGATGAGCAATAGTCGATAGAAGAGGAATGAGAGCGACGTACCAGTCTGTAGCAGTAATATGCCACCATACCCTTCTCTTGATTTCCTTTGCAGACTCTTCGTCCCGCTGTTCCGAGCCAGGGCTGTCGATTAGGTGCAGGCTCATTTCTCGAGCGGACGACAACGAACAGCCATGAAGGAATCTAAACCTAGCTGAGCAGCCTTCCATATTGTAGACGAGATAAGCGAGGACCGAACGTGCTTGTACCTCTTCCAGACAGACCCAAGTATTGGCATGTGATTTTCCTAGTATGTTGAGAGAAGATCTGAACCAAGCTATGGCGGTGTGCGTAGCTTCTTCCAAAGACTCGAAGGTCCCGTTGGCTTTGGACCCCTCGGTGAAGAAGAAAGCACTCGTTGCTGCGATTCCTAGAATCAGTGCAGCGTGTGCTGGATTTGGTTCACCTCCGCGAGATAAGGTGCAATAGAAGTTGACGATCATGGACCTGGCTGCTGTTGGATGAAGTATGGGAAGGAGATGAAACGGATTGTCGAGGAAGTCTTGTAGTAGCAGCAACGCCTCTTCTTGGGTCATCAACCAGGTCGATAATCGTCCTTCTGAATCAATGGAGGGTGTAAGGCCGGAGGTTGTGCTTGCGGGTGTCTTGGGAAAGTGACAGACATTGGTAACGTGATAGTCCACCTTTTCAATTGGTAGAGTGACCTAGGTAACAGTCCATTAGGATTTCGAACTCTAAAGTCTGGATATTGTGTTTCTCACGTTTAGACTATTTCGCGTGAATGTTGAATCGAGAAACTTCGCGGTTTGCTGCCGTTCGTTATCCATGAACCTCCGTAGATGAGGATGCCGTGTTGATAAACCCAGACTTCGGCGTCGGGACGGTTTTGACCGCTCTATCCTTTCAGGTCCGACAGTGTCCGCAAGCTGCTGCATGGAAAATTCTGTGCCGGCAGAAGACACTGGCCCGAACACAGCGTGCTCTAGATTACGGAGCCGACTCAGGATAGAGTCGTCGGCATTCTCGCTCAACCTTGGCGCATGGCTATCCGTAGTTAGCTAAGGTAGACCGGTCGTCGATATGTATGCACCATTTCTGTGGTTACCTCAATTCCACAATCGGATTTTGTGTCCCCGGCTGCCCTGCGCATGACAAGCCGCGCATCACACAGCTCGAACACGGGTCTCCGCGGTCGCACTTGAGCTTCTTCTTGCGGCACGAGTCACACGAAACTTGGGGTTGACGACGTCGTTTCTGGGCTGCGCTATCACTATCAGGTCGCATTGTGCGCTTCATGATGAATTAAATGATTCGTAATTGCTTTCTTGTGCTTCGCCATTGGACTTTGTTGATGTTGATGAGGCAAAGTCCAAGTTCGCTCCTGGCCGCGGACCTTCCTCGGACGCCAACGGGTTACTCCACGGATAATCCGCGGTGCTTACCAACTCCATCTACGCCACCTCAGCCAGAGCAACAATACGACAGCAAAGCGATAATATTTATTAAATGCCCATGGGGAACTGCTGGAATTGATCCTAGCTATGCTAAGTGCCTAAATCAACCTTGTTTTTTTTTTTTTTTTTTTTTTTTGCCGTTGCTTACGCCAGCCAGTGTCCTGAACTTGATATTCTAGCCACAAGACACAACTTACATTGCCATGGAGCCATCTCAACCTCCTCCCGGTTACGATAGGTGAGCTTATGGTTTCCGGAATTTGAATATGATCACAAAATCTCATTCGGAACTATTAGTTTTAGATCGTGGCTCGCTGTCGTAGGTGCTTCGCTTTCGCTTTTTTGCACAGCTGGCTTCCTTAATGCATTCGGCATTTTCCAAGAGTATTACCAGACGTTTCTCGGAGAATCTGAGTCCAATATTTCCTGGATTGGATCCATATCTATTTCTATCGTCTACCTATGTGCACCAATATCAGGCGTTTTAACCGACAGATTGGGACCTACGGTATGTGAAAATTGATTGCAGCCCTGCCGACCTCCACGTACTAAGGTGCACGCTTTACAGATTCTCCTGTGTATTGGCAGTATCGGTCAATTGTTTGCTCTTGTCATGACCTCTCTCTGTAAACAGTACTACCAAGTTTTCCTAGCCCAGGGGATTTTGCTTGGGGTGAGTATGTCGCTCATTTTCTGCCCCCCTGTGGCTGTGGTGTCACGCCGCATGCCTCATCGCCGTGGCCTTGCTCTAGGTCTCACAATTGGCGGGTCTTCCATCGGTGGCATCATCTGGCCGATCCTGCTAGAGCAACTTCTCAACAAACGCCAGCTTGGTTTCGGATGGACTATGCGAGTTGTTGCTTTCACTATGGCTCCTCTTTTAGCATTCGCCTGCATCACTGTGGTTGATGCCCCCGCACCCCAAGCATCTTTGAGTCCAATCCATGCGGCATCAGATGGGGACGAGAAGGGAACGACCTCATCGAATGACGAGATACAGTCCAAATCGAAGGCCAACTACTCTATCCTGAAGAACAAGACCTTTATCCTTCTCTGTGGAGGGTTAGCACTCGGCTACTTTGGACTGTTTACTCCCGTCTTCTTTGTTACGGGCTTCGGCGTTCAACATGGCTTGTCCACATCGACGGCATTTTACTTGTTATCTGGGCTCAACGGTGCTTCATTCCTGGGACGAGTTATTCCTGGGTTTCTCGCAGACCGGTATGGGCATTTCAATCTTTGCATGCTGGCAACTCTTGCGGCTGGTATCGTTGGCTTTTGCTGGACGGCGGCAACGTCTCTTCCTGGGTTGGCAGTGTGGAGTTTGGCGTACGGATTCTCCTCTGGAGTGAGTAGATTCACATCTTGAACTTCCATGACAATGGCTGACGTATTTGCAGGCCATCATGAGCTTGCAGGGTGCATGCGTCGGAAAAATTGCCCATCATCGTCATCAGGGGTTGGCTGTCGGCTTCATGATGGGCTCCATCGCTGTAACGTGAGTCATCACACTTCTGCTATTCCATGCCTAGGGCGGTTTGTGGACACTGACCATGACAATGGACAGCGCTCTTGTCGGGCCTCCCATCAGCGGCCAGATTCTTGCGCATGCCGGATATCTTGCGTTGTCGATGTGGACCGGCGCAACTCTCGTGGTTGGAGCTGCCATCCTTGCTGCAGCTAGATGGCGGTTAAACAGCAGTGTGACTGCAACCGTCTAGATCTATATGGTATTCAGTCATTTGCAGTATGGTCCTGGCTTCACTTGTGATGTATGTTCGGAGTCAAGAGTACTTCGTTAAGCGGCACATCGTTTGGAGGTATCGTTCATACCTTTGGAGACTACTGAGAGTACTTACCTAAGCAAGACCGCTCGGACCAGTGGGGTCCCTGCTCCCTTCGGGCCGAAGCTGTTCCTGGTACACCGGGTGCCCGGTCGGGGTTTTGATGTTCCGTAAGGTGCTCGCCGATGATGGAATCTCTAGTATGGCTCGTGTGTGGCTGGTAAATGTGGCTTCTCTGGAGCGCAGGTTTGGGGAGAAAAAGCTTTCCGACCCTTCGAAATGAACACAAGCTGACCTCACACGATCTTCCTAGACAATCGCTTGTTCACATTTTTGCTTCACTTTCTTGTCACTCGTTTCATCAAAATGCCTCAATCTATTCTTTTTGTCTTTTTGTATTGATCTTTCCATTGCCAGGCTTTGCCCGAGCCTCACTCTTTGAACAGATTTCTCGGACCTTGCTGTTCCGAATAGGATTGGCCAACCGAAGGCACCCTGATCTCCCTTCACTTGTGAACCGATTCCTTGGTCTGCATCTTTTCACAGGCCGGGGCGGCTCGGAATGAGCCCATCGCCTGAATGGCCCACCAGTTCCACATCGCCGGCGCGAGCCACGCTCTCCTCGACCCGTGGTCTCAAGGAGCGGGCGTGGTGAGGGACGTTCTCACTCGGTGGTCCGAGCTCGATATAACACAAATTGGCTCTCTTGTTGCCATAGCCGGCACCCTTCCTACGGCTTGGAGACTCATGCAATGTGCCTGGCAGGAAGCGTATAGTTGTATTCGGCGCTTTTTCCTCGCTTCCGTCACAATACCGGGCGGCGACCCGGTTAACCGGAGCGTCGTGAAATGGGTCCTCGCCAACCGGCCCCGGCATTATCGCGCCTTTACCGGTCGTACCGAAGTTGGACGCGCCAACCCAGACCGTGCTGCCGCTCTGAAGAAGTCGCGCCATACCGTTCAGTATTGTCCACACTGGAACACACGGTGGCTCTGGTTCAAAGGCAACTTTTTCGTCGTCACCCGTGCCGTTGGAGATTTCAATTCTTCACTATCGGATCCCAGCTACGATGGAATCGGAGGCGAGGACCTGACAATCAGCTGCTTCGGATGGTCGGCGCATCCTGTCCAGAATCTCATCGAAACCTGCCGCGAGTACGCCGACAGGCAGACGCAGTACTTCGTCATCATCTACTCCCGCGACCGTTACGGCATGTCTTGGAAACCTAAAGCCCGCAAGCCCCTCCGCCATCTGGACACCGTGCACTTTGACCTCAGCTTGAAGCAGGAGTTGCTTGCTGATATCCGGAATTACCTGGATCCGAAGACTCAGATGCGCTACCAAAGCCGGAGTATGCCGTACCGGAGAGGCTACCTCTTCTACGGCCCGCCTGGAACTGGCAAGTCCTCGCTTTCTGTGGCGATTGCCGGCGAGTTTGGATTAGATCTCTACGAGGTCAAGATCCCCAGTGTGGCAACGGATGCCGATTTAGAGCAGATGTTTCAGGAGATTCCGCCGCGATGTGTGGTTCTTCTCGAAGACATCGATGCCGTGTGGGTGGAGCGTTCAAGCAGCCATGAGAAGACCAGCAACGGGAATGGACGAGCACATTCACCGGAGAGCAGCAATGTGCCCAACTGCACTCTTTCCGGACTGCTGAATGTTTTGGATGGCGTTGGATCGCAGGAGGGCCGTATCGTCATCATGACTACGAATCGACCCGAGCAACTCGACAGTGCCTTGATTCGGCCCGGCCGAGTCGACATGAAGGTCCTTCTGGGTAACATTAGCCCAAAGTCAGCGGCGGAAATGTTCGTGCGGATGTTCTCTCCCGAACTAGGGTGCACAACACACCTGAAAATGGAAGAAATTGAGAAGCTTTCTGTCCAGTTTTCCAGCGTGATACCG